TAGGGCGCTTGAACTCATGAAGTCTGGGAACCAGCGAATGCAGCTCCTCGGAGCAATTTCCATGAAAGTATTTGTAAACAGACAGAGGGAGGCGACGGCGCGTCTGTGAGAAAGTGACTGTAGACGAGATGCCAGAAGCAGGGCCAATTATATTGCATATCCGCCTCTGGAGCCTATCAAGAACCCCGAGGCAAACAGAAGGGGCTCCAGACCATATATGGCAGCAATACTCCATGCAAGGGCGAATTGTTGATTTGTAGATCTGGAGGATCGATTCCGGGGAGAAAAATTTCCTGGGCGCGGCACAGGGAGCCAACTTTCCTTGCAGTGGACGAAGCAATTGACTCAATGTATTTGTTCCATCTCAGGTCAGCAGTCAACGTGAGACCGAGCATTTTGCAGAGAGTTGCTCTCGAGAAGTTGAGCGTCAGACATTCTAATGGAGGGCAGGAAGGATCTCTGTGGTGATTAATAGAGAGCAGTTTTTGTTTTGAAGCATTAAAGTTGACCAGCCAATTATTGCCCCAGTTCACAACCGATTGGAGGTCCTTTTCGAGACGCACGGCCAGATAGTTTTGTCAGAATTTACTAGATTTTTTTTGAGGCAGGAATAAATTGTATTGTCATCTATTAGATGCCAACTTGGGAATTTATGGCGTCAGGGAAGGTCATTTATGTAGATAAGGAATAGAGGGGGCCTAGGATGGAGCCTTGAGGAACACCTGCGTTCGTGGGATAGGAACTGGAGGAGAATCCATTTTGAGAACGACCTTCAATTCAAGGTTTGACAGGAAATTGGAATTTATACAATTATAAATTAATATAATAACCCTGGAGCTTTTGATCTCAATGATAAAAACCTTTTTCTAATTTGGATAAATATTGAAATATTTTTTGCAGATTCTGAGTGTTTTATTTTGTTTATATAATATTAACCTAAAAGAATTAAAGTTCGATATTTTGAATGCATATACATTGTTGTTGTGAAATACAGTATTGGTTTTTAATTCGTTGAAAAAAAATCCAATCAAATGAACTAATAGGATATATTAAATATGAACAGGGTCTCTAAAATTTTTAATGGATATATCTAATATATTTTTGATGTAAATTCAATAAAAAAATATATACATCAAAAAAATTTTTTATTTGGAATTTTGACAAAGTTGCTTAAATTAAAAATTTATAAAATCTTAAGACAAATATTTTTATAGGTCAATTTTGTTTTTTTATTTTTGCTTTCAAATTTGGAATAAACTATAATTATATAAATAATGTGGAAATTAAATCTCTTCATGGAAGATTTGTTTTAAAAGGAGAAAATCCAAATAAATGGTATAAAATATTTTTTTTTTTTTTTCAGATTCTATATAAATTTCTATAAAATATACAAAATGGGTTATAGGATATATATATACCATAGAATAAATTATGTTATCATTTTATTTTTTTTGTAGAAAATTTTTATAATAATATTTTTTTACATTTTATTAGTTCCAATTTTATGAACTGGCAATATTACTTTCCCTTTTTTTGGTAAGCCTGGATTAATGTATTTTTCCTTAACACGAATATTATTTTATATATATCTAAATATTATTTCTGTTTTATAAAAAATATATGAGTTCCAATAAATCCAATTGAGCACTGATATTATGTATTACAAATTTAATTTTCCTCTTACTTACACCTTTTAATCCAAATTTCATTCAAGATTTTCAGGAAAAATTCATGTAACGAACAAATAGAGATTAGAATATTTATGTTGTTCCATTTACACATTGCAATTTATGATTTTTTCACACAAGGAATATATTATTCATTTTTTTAAATTCTGATTTCTTCAAGGTTTTTAATGCCAACAGGATATCAAATGAGGTTCAAATTAAATTTTGTTATATTTTTATTAATGGATCAAATTTTAACTTGAAAAATAATTTAGCTGTGGATCGAAAAATGGTTTTATAATAAGATTGCATATCTAATATACCTTAGTTTTATGAGTGGTTGTGAAAAGAAATGTAGTATAACTGGTTTTTAATGTTTAAAATTGTTTTTAAATTGTTGAAAAAAATTTTTGTTTTTATTAAATCAGTAAAAAAATATAATTATGAAATTATGTCAATTGATAAACTTGATCTAAACCAATCACTCAAAAAAAGTTTGCCCAAATTTTTTTTGGTAAATTTTTAACTAAATAAAATTTTTTTGTTTTTTTTTGAAACAGTTTCTTTTTAAAAAAGCCTTTTTTATTCAAGGTTGGATTGTAATCGGAAGAACAGAAACAGAAAATTTAAGATCGAATGGGGGGGATTTGATGAGACATATATCAAATATAATGTGATAATGGCATAATTCTTATTTTGAAATAAAAGGTTAATTGTTCCATTGGATTCATCTTTATATGGAATTCGAATTTGTATTATACAATGAGTTTGTGAAAATATTTTTAATTTGGAAAAGAAAATATCCAATTTTTAAGGATTCATCAAATGGTTTTAATCCATATAAATATAATGAATAGAGTAAATTTGTTAGAAAATGATTTTTCATTTTTTTTTTTATATAGATATTAGATTATATCTATAATATTATTTTTTTGACAGAAAGTCTTTTACAATCCAATATAAACTTCATCAAAATTCTGAAGTTTTTCTGCACTCAAAGAATTTAAAATGGACGATTTCAAGAAATATTTACCTTTTAACATTCAGTTTTTAAATATTAAATCATAACATTTAAGTTTTTTTTTTATTAAATTCAGAAATACATAATTAAAATTTTATTTTATTTATTTATTTATTTTTTTTTTTTAATCCATTATATTATCATCAATAGAATTTAAGATTTGCCCCAGCAAAAAATACAAATACAGATAGTTATTTGTCAACTGAAGAGTCCCTATTACTAATGAATTTATCCAATTTTTTTTCATTGATTTTTTGTGTCAATTTTTTGTCATAAACCAATGTAGTCTCTTGTTTTTTTTTTGGAACACATTTCAAAATTCAATTAAAGCCATTACTCCTTACCCACCTTGGAGCCACATGTGGCAAGATGATTAGAGCAGAAAACATTTTGGCCTTTCAATTCCTTCAAATTCACATCTAAACATGTATGTTAATTTCAACGAACTTAACATCTACAGATTATAAAAGGATTTCCTGTCTTAAGTATGGACGCAAAAAAAAGAAGTTGGGGATATTTTTAGATTCTATTTCTCAGTCTATTCACCCATATCTAGACCCACCACTTACAAATTGGCTTTTTGATTTTTTAAAAGTAAAATTTTCAATCTAAAGTTCGTTATTCCACAGGCTTTTCCTTCATTATGAGTTGATCTTGAATGATTGTTCTCCAAATTTGAAGAATTGCTCAAGTAAAAAGCCAATAAAATTGTGTAGAATGAGGATTTTAAAAATAGGTTAGATTTGTTTTTTCCATCAATAATTTGATCTTTCCTCAAGCATCAAAAAAAAAATGAACAATGGCAAACAGGTGTTTCCAAAAAAATTTGACTTTTACCCCAATGCAGAGTATATATATCAGCATAAAAATAACTATGTTATTCGGCAGTTAATACCATTTGAAAACAACTAAATTTATAATTTGATTACAGATGGTTCCAGAAGAATATTTTTAAATGTCCAAAATATAAAGATTTACAAAGAATATAAGGTTTAAATATTTTCAAAATATAACAATTTAAAAAGTTATTGCTTCTTTGTCAAATTGAGTCTGAAAAAAAATTTGGTTAAAATGTCAATCATTATTCAAAAATTTTTTGTTTACTTTTTCTAATTGATTCTTTTCTATGTTTTTTGAATCTCCAACTTTAAGAATTTTAGACACTTTACTGTCTTCAATAAAAACCTTTAAATTTTTTTAAATAAAAAATTATGAAAACTAAAATACCTTTTAAAACAAGAGAAAAATTCTACATATTTACTTGATATATTTAAAAACCACCAATTTCAGTATTTTTAAAGAACTTTATAAAAATGATCATTTAGTTCTTAAATACAGAGAATAATGTAGTTGAACAAACTAATGGCCCTTTGAAGAGCTATATATATATATATATATATATATATATATATATATATATACACACAAACATTAAAGAATCAACCACTATCAAAATAGTATAAAAAAAATCCTGGTTAACTTATTTTGAAAAAAATACAGTGAAAATAATTTATTCCAAAGTTATCCAGCTAAAATTACTTTTTTTTTTTTCTTTTTTTTATATCCAACATCTATTCTAAAGTAGTTTTTTATCAACAGTAGATAGATTTCAAATTATGTTTGATATGTCCAAAATCTTCAACAGAAAATAAAAAATCCTATTTTTAGAATGTGGTATTTGCATTAATTTTGATTGCCATTATTAATTTACAAACATTATTTAAGAAAACAAAATGCTATTCGGAAGAAAATGATATTATAAAATGTTTATTTTAGTAAACACATGAACCCATTCGATGGTAGGGGGCGCAACTCTTTAAAAATAAAATGGAGACCTAACAGATCAATAAACAAACTGAACTTTCTTTTTCCTTATTTCAAGCAGATGATTCAAAATTTAATGTCTTTGAGGTGATTTAAATTGACTATATAGTTTTTATATTTTCGAAAATGTCATTTTAACAAAATGTATATTATATAATTATACTTTTAAACTCCTTTGAAAATACTGTTTTGATTTAAAGTAATTTTTAAATTTTGCATACAAAGGTTTTATTGATTGGGCCAATAAAAAATAAATTTCAGTTTGTGAAAATGTGGATGTTGATGTCCTGTTATATATTGAAAAAAATAGGTAATTCAGGTATAAAAGTTAATTAATCCGAGTACTGGATTTTTATTGTTTAATCTTTACATTAAAAATGAGTTCTTCAAAAAATGCATATATTCAAATAAAACAATTATTTCATTCTGTCAGATCAATTTTGGTTTTAAGATTAACATGAAATTAAGCAAAAATTAGATTTTGTAACTTACTTTGGATCCAACATGGCTTGGATTATTTTCTGGGGATGAGAATCAGCAGACAATCTTTCTTCTTGGCCAGTTAAGCTAAACAAAATATATTTTCAAGATGTTTAGAGCTCCTATAAAACATTTACAATTTTTTGAGGATACATGAAGATCAGATAAATTCTTGATTGATAATTTACAAAAAGATACCTTCTATAAATTTGAGTCATTCCAAAGAGTTGTTCTATGGAACTTAATCTATTTTGGTTGTTTTATTTCCAGAGATCCATTGTACATCATTCATCAGGTGTACAATTCCAAGGAATAAATATATATATATATATATATATATATATATATAGTACAGGTAGTCATGTAGAAAATTAATTTGCTTAGATATACTGATGTACATATTTCTGCCAACATTTTGGTCAAGATATTGAAAATGACTTACAAAGAATAAAGATCAATAGACATTCAAAACAAATATAAAAAACAAAGCTGTGAAGAGTGGACAAAGAAAATACAGTCAACATTCTGCAATTGTATTTTGCAAATAATGTTATCAAAATAACCAAGTCGGTTAAAGAAAGAAAAAATGATTTACCAATACAGATACACACATCTAGTCTTGTACAGTAAGTCAGTATTGAATGCAGTAATACAAACCAGAGTTTAAACTTCTACAAAAATAAATTTTAATTTGAGGATTTTTTTTTTCAAGACTAAAGATTTAAGTGTAAATTTATCTTAAAAAAAAAATAAATACACATACAGAACTTACTTTTCTGTGATTGTTGTAGCCGGCTGATTGTTAACAGTACTGCCTTCTCCACCAGGAACTGATGTACTTGAAGCAGCAGCTGCAGATCCTGCAGTACTTTGGACGGCAGCAGCTGTATTTGCTGCAGAAACTGCTGCATTCTGGACATGTTGACTGGAAGCCTAAAAACAAAAGCAAGCTTTCACAATCAAAATTATAAAACTGTTTTGGACTTATAGAATAAAGTGCCTTTAGAATGCCATTATCTTTACCAAGTGTTAAAGTACTTTCAGTTTTTAAAAAGAGAGGGAAAAAAATAAAAGCTCAGTGCTTTCTACAGTTTTATGACACTTTTATTATATAGTATTCTAAACATGAGAGATGTTATTGAATAAATTTACACTCCTATTTTAAATTAGAAAGACATCATCATACAGCATTCTTGAATAAGAGGAATTGTACAACTGAACAATTTTTCTGTTTTATAGGAGAAACTTCTGCAGATATAATATCTATAAGTATTTAATTATGAGGGAAATTAGAAATTTTAAAATAATATCTCAATTCTCACTTGACAAGTAAGATTTTGGATACTAATGGGAACTAAGTGTTCTCAACAATAAATATTTCAGCAGGTTAATCTTACTTTTCATGATAGATTAAAATATATGGCCAGGTCCTTCAAACAGTTTTTGCCAATTGGTCAGCTTCTGCCCCACATGACAGATTCCCATTTTTAAAGAGGTAAAATCACTACAGCAAGAGACCAATATACTGGGTTCTTTACTCAAGGGTTCACCTGACACTGTCTTTTCATTATGATTTCTGTTTTATGGATCAGATCTTTCTTCAATCAGCAAGGACTGTCCTCATCCTAATCTACATCTCTCCTGCTTCTCAATATCTGGCTCTTATCTAAAATATAGCCCAATTAGTTAAGTCCATGAGCAGAACTCCCTACTTTCCATCCAAGTGGCATTTGATCCAAAAAGTTTTTATTTATTTCCTTACTTCTGAAGAGCAGGGTGTGGTTTAATTTCTATTGTAAGGAAAGGCAACTGGTAGTCATAATACCATATCCAAATAAAAATCATTTACAATCAACTTGATTACATGGAATTCCTAAAACCACTTGAACAGGTACCCACTGTGTCACAATAGGGGGTGGGGAGAAATAGTGTGTAGGAGTTTTATATATTTGTTAAAAATTTATTAATTAGTTATTTAGTCCCAATTTCCAGACATGAATTGTAACAGATTTGGTGGGGGGGGGCAATATTTTTTAATATTGAAATATTTCACTGAATACAAAAAACATAAAAAGAGGGTTAGGTAATTTACCAACCAAATTATTATAAACAAAGGATTGTGCAAATAGCATAAATGATACTGGTGCAGAAAATGGAGTCAGCAATCAAACTGTCATTGCATTTGCTTGCTCATAGGGAAAAAAGCATGAAGGTATCTCTTCTCCACACCAATTATGGGTTAAATAGCAAAGTAAGACTGGGTTCTTTAACCTTGGGTGGCAGACAGTCAAAAAGAAGGACTACTAAATTCAAAACTGTAGAGAAAGCTAACCCACTACTACTCCCAGATAAGAAAAGGAATCTGTAGAGGGCCACGATTGCCTAAAATGAGAATGCTTATTAAAACTTGGTCACTTCCCATTGATAGGTTTTTGAATGTAAGGACTATAGAGATGTGAAAATTTTGTTAATCCATTTAAAATATTAAATTCAAACTGCTACAGAGCGTCAGTAAACAGACTATTGTAAGCTTTTAGTTTTATTTACATCAACAAAATTACAAGATGCAAAGAATAAACTTATTCTTTACATCATTTGTTTTTCTAGTCATCAGTAGGCATTAGCAAATCTAAGTTTAATGGTTTTATTTTTTTTTCAACTGGAGATTTTTTTTTAACTTGCTAAAATTTCAAAATTAGAGAATGTCAATATATTAAGTTATTGATAGTAAATATTTCTTCATAATCCCAACATTATTAGGCATTTTAAAATTTGTTTAAATACTTGCAAATATTCAAACTAAAACAAGTAGACTATTTACATTATTCAGACTATTGTCCTCATCTTTGTCACCATATTTATTACAACGGAGGCCAGAGCATACAATGTTTCAGCCGTTGTATGCTCCAGCCTTCTTCAGGTGGTTGGAATGTCAAATTGAACCCTTTATTTCGCTCACTGGGGTAGACTTGTTCTAGTTCCATGAGCCATTTCTAATGGATGTCAGTTATCAGTTATCTCCTGTTAATTCCCCTTTCAAAGTTCTCCACCGCCTTAACCAGATACTGAACTCACACTCTTTTGTTTTGGAATTTGTTTATTTTCATTCTCTTCTATTTCCATATATTCCAGAGGTTCAAATTTATTTTCATTTGATGTATTTATTCTTGATTTTGAGTTAGATATGGTTGAATGTTTTCTTGTTCTGTTGTTACTTTTTTGTCTTTTTGTTTATTTTTCATTTTCTTGATTTGGGTTTGGGAAGAAGAGGGTTTGCTGGAGTTTTGTTCTATGTTTTCTTTCCGGAGTTTTTTGCCTTCTTCTGGGTTAATTCCTTTTGATTTGGGTTGTTGAGTTTTATTTTGATCTGATTTAAGTTCAGTTAAGAAGGTTTTTAATTCTTCAAGAAAAGCTTTTAATTCCTTATATAAATTTGTTATTTCAGTTGAATCTTTTATTTTATCTTCATTGTTTATTTGCTTTTTGTATCATGGAGGTGTAGGTGTTTTCTTTTGTTATTTTTAACTTCTTTTCATGCTTCTGAGAAAGATATATTTTTTTTGTGTTTTATTATGATTATTTCTTTTTCCTGTTTGTAGATACTACATTGTTTTGAGAGGGCAGAGTGGTTTCACAAACAGTTTTAGCATAGGCTCTCATTTGGACAATTCTCTTCTTTATGTTCTGGTTCTTTTTCACTACATTTTCCACATGTCTGTTTGTTTCGACAGGAATCTCTGTGATGCCCATATTTGTGGCATCTGTAGCACTGAAGAGGGTTTGTATGTATTGTTCCACTTTTTATAATTTCATATCCAATTTTAATTATTGTCAGAATTTGGGGGGAGTTGAAAGTTAGAATGTAGGTATTTAGTTCATATCTCTGCTTCATTTTTCTTTGTGATTCTTTTGACGTTTGTAAACACCTTTGAGTTTGGAGTTCTATTTTATCTCCTCCAGACTTGCACAGGTTTTTTCTCCTTGCTTTTTACTACACCCTTTGAGAAATTTAGGGTTTAGTGTGGATAGGATTTTTATTTTATTTCTTTTGTAATTTTTTTTTGTCTTAGTGTATCTGCATATATCTTTTTTTTTCCACTTCCATTTAGTAATGTTCCATTTTGTAGTTTTTTTTTACATTTTTGGTGTGATTATATTTGATATAGCTTTTTTGGATTTTAAATGGAGATATTTCAGTTAGTGCTTTGTTGCTTATTGCTTCTAGAACAATAAATCGTGGAATTTTTTTCATTATCATTTTCTTTTTCAAAGTCATTATCCACATGTGGTCTCTTGGAAGATTTCTTTTTTTTTCCATTGATTGTTTTTTATTTTGATTCATCTTCCATGCTCCCTACCCACTGTGGAGTCCAGGATTGGGACATGACATGCGGGGGAAAAAGAAAACCTTGCCATGTCGGGGCTACGTGAAAGGTATACTCTCTTTGGGAGGAGTCTTTGAGCACGCGTGTTCCTTTGTTTCTGTTATCCAAGTTTTACGGCTGTGAAGGTTTAGCAGGTATGTCAGATCCTTTTTTTCTCCCAAATTGATTGACCCTCAGCCACCGCCTTCCATCATATATTTAGGGGTAGGTGTTAGTTTCGGATGGGAAGAGGAGTATAAGTTTGGGGTGGATTATATATGATGGGGCTTCGACCTGCTCAACCACCAGGATCCCGTCCCCAGACATTACGGGTCGCCACCCATGGCCAACAAGTGGCCCCATTGAGGGACTTTTACCTTCGACGGGGGGGGGGGGATGAAGTCGGCATATTCTGATGCCCCACCGACCGGGCGGAGAAATAAAGGGTTCAGTTCAACATTCCAACCACCTGAAGAAGACCGGAGCATACAACGGCCAAAACATTGTAATAAATATGGTGACAAAGATGTAGACAATAGTCCGAATAATGTAAATAGTGTACATAATACCTCATCTCTGAAATATAGACAGTTACTAAAATAAGTAGGTGTTCAAAATTATTCCTAATTAACCTTATTAGAAGATTCTTTTTAAAAGATCCAATTAAGACGAACAGAAAAAAATACGACCAAGATAAAAAAAAAAAAAATCTAAGGGAAATAACTCGGAAAATCATACCTTCGTGTTCCGCCGATTCTGCTGGGTACGTTTGATTTTGTTCAAAAATTCAGCAAAACGAATGAAACTGAACAAGTTCCGGTTAGCCTCTTCATAAATATCACACTTTGAAGCAAGGCTGAAAATCCAAAATAAAACTTCAATTATAAAACAAATTCAAAAGAGAAAATATACTTAACTATCAAACATTTTCTCTATTTCACTAGTCTAAAACAAGATGCAAGTTAAGCTTGCACAAGAAAACATGGTCTTTCTACAAAAACGCACTTCTCAAAGATAAACATCTTTTCCAAAAAGCGTTTCATATTACCATCAAATATACACATCAGATCACAAATATCAATTTATTTTTTTTTTAATTTTAAGATGGGATTCAGTTTAAAATGTAAATTCATCTATTAAAGTCAAAAGCAAAAAATATGCTCATACTACATAAAGAATATTCTTATATACAAAATTTCAAATAAATTTAAGTTAAAACAAAAATATTTATATTATTCAAAGTATATTCTTACTTTTTCCTCTGTTAAAATTGTGCTTACAAATATTTCAAAACAGCCTTGAAATATGAATTTAAGCATATTCGTACTTAACTTTTATTTTTTATATTATTATAAAAAATAAAAAGATTTCTTTGTGATCTGTATTTGTTTTACCAAGTCATGACCAATGAACTCAGGCAAGCAAAGGATATGATTTGTTGTTGTTTCCACTTAATTTGACAAAAGACAGCTACTAACTCATATCAATCAGTGTGCAACCTTTTCCCTTTCTATCTTTGATAATAATGTCTGAATGATTTGCTTGTATTATTATCCTCATCATCTGGAGCGTTTATTCATAAGTACTATGAAAAGAAATTTTGAAAGAAAAACAATGCTTATTTCTAGAAGTGCATTTCTTAAGATCACTGATGTTAACAAATAATGGATTTAAAAAATGAGCCAACAAATTTGTTTACTTAAAATTGCAATTGAAAGAATAAAATTTGCAAGTGTACATATGGAATAACACACTAATTCCATCTACATTTTACGCACGCGCGAGTTTTCCTCCCTTCCTTTCACACTCGTGCGTGTGTGCGCGTGGTTTGCACCCCTTCCTCTCTCTCACAGCTAGACGTAGCAGTAATCTGGAGGAAGGAAGGTCGCTTGCTATAGCTTCTACTGATAAAGTCAGCCTAACAGATTTTGAATTTTTTCCCGTGCATTTCCTGGCGTCTCAAAAGAACAGCGTTTGCAAGCCACTTGCTTCCCGATCTTCAACCTAACTAGACGGGCAACTCATTTATTCCGTGCCCTTAACCCATATGCGGGCCGGAATATCTTATTTCAACATGTCGACCTCACGCTTTCCCAAGACTTCTTCTCGTCTTGATGCTACCCGCAGGTCAGACCTTCTCCGTTTTCGGCTAGAAAACGTCGAGACACACGACACAGTTGTGGGCAGAACTTCGTAACAACAAGTGACTTATTTTTTATCCCTCGTCAGTCAACCACAATACAGACAGGGATATCTTATTGACGAATAAATATTCTTCGTCCCTTTTGGCTCGCCATAAGTAATTTCACCAAGACGATGCAACTCACTACAAATAATTCTTTGTCTCTCTTGACTCGCCATAAGTAATTTCACCAAGACGATGCAACCAACTGCAAATAATTCTTTGTCCACATCAATCCGATAAAATTTTCAGCAGTTAATTCAATGTCCTTAACGACTGGTTACATTTCCTTTTTGCCTTTCGACCAAAAACTCTGAGACGACTGAACTTTCTAACTACTTTGAACCTGAACCTAAAAAAAAAAATCACATACACTTACAATGCCAAAATCCACAGTGAGTACTCTTTTTATCTGTGCACACCTACACCTCATGTTAACGAGTCCTTTTTCCAGAACCTTCTTTCATTCTGATGAAACCTTTTTCCCACCTTGTCCATCTTGCTTTCCAGTTTTGGCGCGGAACATTTTCTCTGATCTCGAATGACGAGACAACCTACTTGTTTTCAATTTAATAAAAATTACACGTTTTGCAACCAGATGCCTTTGTCATTCTATTCAGGCTATCTTTTTGATATTTGTAATTTATGCACTTGTTGATTGACCCCTTTTCCTCTCATTGTTCACTCACGCATTTTTTATACATTGTTTGTGGACACGGTAGTTTAGTGTAGCGTCTGGCACAAGGCCACATTTCTATTAAACCAGCTCTGCACGCTACCGGGTCCGCAACATACATCAAAACCTTATAAAATTTTATTATTATTATATTTATTTTATTTTTTTTTTGGTACAAACTCATATGTGTAGTAAAATGAGGAAAAAACTCAATAGCAATAGCTTGTGAGATCAGCATACTAACCAGTTTTCTTATAGAATAAACAATGAAAGACATGCCAAAAGTAATATCTTCTATTTTTCAATAAAATAGATACAGAGAGCACAATAACACTGATGGAATTAGTAAGATTCCCAACTACAATATATTTAGCCAGTGCATCTTTGCATGTTACATTCAGAGCTCTACAGAAGCAAACCATTTTTTTTCTTTTTCTTTTAACACAACTGTTGCAACTGCTGAAATGCATTACCTATTGCCTGTGTTCATATTCACTACATGGTCTCAAAGAAATAATCAATGAGTAATTTTTTCTGCAGGAAGGAATTAAATGATAACTATTATGAATGCATTTTTATGTCAGACCATTTTGCTTTCACAAGGTAAAAACAAAGATAGGTCATTTGCAGGATGATTCAATCTGTCACCACATCAATGCTCATGAACCAACATAAAATAAGAGGTATTACTTTCAAAAGTAACCGTTATATAAAAATATTGAAATAGAAAACGATAAGTGAAAGCACACAAATTTAGATTTAAAATTCTTACATGCTTCAATACAAAACACTTTCATATAACTCAAGTGAACATGTTTAAAAGTAATGAATGAATGGTAAATGAAGGAGTAGTGTATTTTGTTTTAATATCCAGTATCATTACCAACTTCAAAGAGAAGCTCTCTTTATAGAAGCACTGAGATAATACTTGAGAAGAAAAAAACATGGGGGAAAAATTTCATTGAACCAATCCCTATCTTATTACCTAAAGGCAAAATTTACATTTCAATCAGTTTTCTGTCTAGAATAGAACAGTGGTTTTTAATGGTTTTAGAAAATTAAAACTGTAAAAGGAAAATATCACAGTATTAAAGAGAAAAAATCTTCAATATCAGTTGTCAAGTATACAACTAAGTGATATTTTAATGTATCAATAACATTTTCTAGCAAATCATATATATATATATATATGATTAAACAAAATAAATCACTGAATTGTTTTCTTATAAGCGTGAACAGTCATCACATCATTAAGTTTTACTTTTTTTTTGCAGAAAACTATATTAAAAAAAAAAATAAATTTAGAAAAGACATTAAAAATTACCAACCTTTGAGTTTCTGATATTTTCTTAGTAGCATTGTTACAAGGAAGCAAAAAGAATCTGCTGCGCCAATATTTCATGTTCTGAAGAACAAAAAAAAATAATTCATTTTAAAAAATACTTATATCTGAAGATATTTGCTTTGTGATGAAATAAAATCATCCTTCACTTAAATATTTTGTATGCTTTCCCCACAAAAAACAAAATTCCAAAAATCTTTTTTTTTATTTTTTGTTTTTTTTTTATAAAGTCACATCACCAATTTTCCAGCAACTGATGACAAAGCATCAACAAAATTACAATTAATCCCAACAAAATTAAAAGCAAGCATTTACATTTCACACAATTTGCAAATCAATTCAACAGGTGGTACTGTGTGTTGTATAATCAGTGTTTACACTAGTGTGTTTGATGCAGTACCATCAATTTAATAAAAATTTAATATAAGTTTCTAACAGCTAATAATTCAGTAGAGATACAAAATTAGTGTTTATTTACATTATTTATTATTCAAAGTTCATGAAAATAATGAATTTATTATGGTGGTTTGTGGTTATTATCTCAAGTGCCAAATTAACAACAATTACTTTGGCACTATATATGGAAGCTATGTTTGTAATTCTTTTCCATTTCTTATGATCTTTTAGTATGGCAGCACATCCAACTTTATTTTCAATTTTTTGCTCCATCTGTATATACATAAAGGTAGTTTGGGTAGTTATTTTTTATATTAAGCATTTCGGATTGGATTTCTTTTGGATTTCGGATATTTTGTCATGTCAAAAATTACTATAGGTTGATTTATAATCCAGGGGTGTGTGGAAGATATAATTGATTTGCAAATTTGTGTTGTATCTATCTGGTTTTCTTCTATGATCTTTTTTATTCATAAACCAAAAGGTTTGATGGATGTTTCTTTTTGCTGAAAAAATTCTACAAACTGTGATTGGAAAGTAGTACTGAAAGCTGAATTTAGAGGGCTTGATGAGAGTTTTAGGTAATATTGCAGAGAGAGTTTTTCATGTCTTAGTTTAAGAGATCATTCATTAGCCTCTGTATATAGGCTCTCAACAGGAGAGGTGCTATATTCTCCAAGGTCCAGCCTAAGTCCTTGATGGTGTATGGTATTTAGTATGGTATGTTTTTCTGGCTGCTCCATATATAAAGCAGCCATAATCAAGTTTTGATATGATTAGAGAGCGATACAATTTCAATAATGTTTCTTTGCTTCCTCCCCAATCAGTGTGTGCTATGGTTCTGAGTAATTGTATTGTTTTATTACATTTTGTTCTCAAGTATTTAATATGGGAAATGAAGGAGAGTTTGTGGTCAAAAATGACTCCTAGTTGTTTGTATTGATCTACAATTTGGATTTCGGTGTGGTCGAGTTTCAGTACTTGGTCAAAGTGGAGTTTACATAGGTTGCAGAAGTGAACACATTTCGTTTTTTCTTTTGAGAATTTTAGTCCATTCTCTGTGGTCCATTTATTGAGTTTATCAAGGCAGATCTGGAGTTGTCTTTCTATATGGTTCATGTTTTTTGCTCTATAACATATCAGGAAGTCATCCACAAACAAAGCACAGTCTGTTCGGCAATTTATGTTTTTTACAATATCATTTATCTTGATACTAAACAGTGTGACACAATACACTACTTTGAGGTACACCTATTTCTTGTTCTTTTTCTTCAGAGAAGATATTTCCCATCCCAATGTTAAATCTTCTATCTTGTAGGAAGTTTTTTATAAATATAGGCATTCTACCTTCTAGGCCAAGGTTTTTAAGGTCTCTTACTATGCCGTACTTCTACGTTGTCATATGCCTTTTTGAGATCAAAAAGGCTGCCACAAAATGTTCTTTTTTAATAGAAACCTCTCTGATAAATGTTTCCAATCAGATCAGATGATCTATAGGGCTTCTTTGGCTTCTAAAACCAGACTGACATTCCATTATCAATTTATTGCTTTCAAGGTACCAAATCAATCTGGCATTCATAATTATCTCTAGTGTTTTGTACACACAACTGCTAAGAATAATGGGTCTGCAGTTTTTGCATTTGTATTATCATTTAAAGGTTTCAGTATCAGTATAACTGTAGTTTGTTTCCATATTTTAGGGATGTCACCACTTATCCATATATTATTGTAGATTTGTTGGAGGTAATTTATTGAGGTTTCAAGTAGTTCTTTTAAGAATTGATAGTGAATTTTATCTGGTCCAACTGCAGTATTGTGGGTCTTGTTGAGGGATTCCTTTAGTTCTGTTATAGAGAAAAGTTGATTGTAGCTTTCAGTATTTTTGTTTTGAAATTTGATTTTTCCTTTTTCTGCTTTTGTTTTGATGATTTGAAATTTTTTGCTTTGGTTTTTGGCGAATGAATTTTACGAGAAAGTTTTGGCTAGATGATTTGCTATATCTTTCTCATCAGTAATCTTCTGATTATTGTGAATAAGATGTTTGGTGGGAGTATTGCTATTTTTGCCAGTTATTTTTCAAATCATCTCCCATACTTTTTTTGATTGTGTGTTATTTATTTTGGCAACATAATTTTGCCATGTATTTGATGATTTTTGGGGCTTTAGCTCTGCTGCTTTTATAAATGATTAGGTTTTCTCCTGTTGGATTTATTTTAAATTTCTTTAATACAGCTCTGCATAGTCTCACAGCTTTTTGGCATTCCTCATTGAACCATGGCCTATTGTATTTTGAAGTGGTGGAGCTTTTTGGTATATGTCTTTCAGCTATATTTAACAGTTTGTTGGTAAAGTATAGAATGTCTTCCGCTTTGTTTTTATTGGCTTCTGGTTTAGTTCAGTAAGGCATGATGTTTTAAATCCATCCCAAGTTAGCCTTTTTCATATTACAACTCAGAGTTCTTTTATTTAATATATTGGTCTTGTTTTCCAATAGAATTGGAAAGTGGTCACTTCCACATGTGTCATCATGTACTTTCTAGTCATAATCTAGAAACAGATTAGGGTCACATATTGATAGGTCTATTGCAGAGTATGTGCCTGTTGCTGGATGCAGATATGTGTTTGATCTATTATTGTACATGCACAACTGATGTTTATTTAATAGTGACTATTATTTTGCCCTTTTTATCTGTCTTCATACTTCCTGATATTTCATTGTGGCTATTGAAGTCTCCCATTATAATGATGGGTTTTGGCAATTGTTCTATCAAATTATTTAACTCAGATTCTTTGCATTGTTCGCTTGGAGGAATATATAATGAACACACAGTTATTGTTTTGTGGAGGGTTGCTGATATAGCAACTGCTCCCAGATTTGTATCGACTATGATATTCCATTGGATTATATTGTTCATTTAATTTTAAGATTTGTGAGTTGGTTGGTTATTTTTATTTTTTTTTCTCGACATATCAACCTCTTGAGATTTGTGAGATTTTTTTTTATTTTGAGGTTTGCTTGTTTGTGGAGTTTTATTTTCAATCTCCATTTTCTCAAATTTGTTTGATGTGCTTATCAGGGTGTGTTGTGTAATTTTTTTAATAGCATTTTCTTTTTTAATAGCAATATCCTTTATTTTATTTTCAATTATGTTTTTGTTAATATCCAGGGGTTAGATTGGTGATCTTTGTCATTTTTCATTTGTGGATTCAGTCATCTTAGAATTTTCTATGGGCATTTCTACATTGGTATCCGTATTTAATTTTTTCGTTTTCTTTCTGTTGAATACATTCTTTTAAGATTTTCTTGGAATGTTAGCCATTCATCTGTATTCAAATTTATTAATTTTTCTATAAGTTTTTTTATATTTATCTATTGGAGTGATGTCCTGGGATTTTTGATTTGCCTTTTGTACTATATTAGCATAGGCTTTTGTTCCCATATAGCTTTCAACAATTTTTCTGGCTTCTAGGAAAGGTATATTTTTCATGTGCTTTACATACATTATATCCTTTTCTCTCTCGTAGATATCACAGGTCCTTGAAAAGGCAGGGTGTTCTTTGTGGCAGTTAGCGCATTTCACATTACTGCATTCATTCGATGTATGATTTGGATCACATTCACACTTCCCACACACTTGGCGTCCTCTGCAAATGTCTTTGCAGTGTCCAAATTTTTGACATTTGAAGCACCACAGGGGAGCTGGTATAAATTGCTCTACTCTTTCTATAGTATAGCCAATCTTGATTTATTTTAGTATTAAGGTTTTTCAAATGTTAGTGTGTATATATATATATATATATATATATATATATATATGTGTCTCTATAATATCATTGTTTCTTCGAATAGATATTCTCTTATATTCCTTTACACCCTGTTTTCTTGTGTTGCTAACAAAAGTTCGCTGCTTCTTATAACACCATTTGAAGTGTTTAATTTTTCACGTGGATATGCTCTACATTTGATGTTGCGAAATTTATCCATTTTGAGTAAATTTTCTGCATGTTTTTTTGTTTCAACTTCAACTAGCAAGTTACCATTTCAAAGTTTTTTTTACGTTTTTTGGATTCAACCTACTTGATATGATTTTCTCTATCAGGAAAGGTGATAACTTATCCAATTTGATTTCCTTTAACAATTCAATAATAATGAATCTTGGAAAATCTGTTTCAATCTCCTCGTCAGAATTGGATAGCTTTTGAATTTTTTGAAGGAAGAAGCCATGATTAGTATATATTTTTCATTAGTCCTATGCTCCACTACCCACCACGGAGTCCAACTTGTGTTGGGAATGAACCAAGAGGGAAACCCATTCACCTTGGCTGAGAGAGGGATACAATACCAGTATACACGTATCCAGACCAAGATTCTGAGCCTCTGCCAAATTCTGCCTTTTATTACACAACAATCTAACAGGGTCAAAAGGTCTTTTCCTCTTAACACAATTGACCCTCAGCTCCCACCTTCTAACACATATAAGACAAAAGTGTTAGGGGGTTGTTTTGCAAGAGCAGATTGAATAGTACGTTCAGGAAAAAAGATAGATAAATGTGCTAGGGCATGAGGGAACCAGCCAATTGATTGGATCGGGCCTATCCAACTGCCCATCAGACTAAGTAAGGGCCAAAGTGGTGTGTTACAAGCCACTGACCAGTCTGCCACCAGATCAATGACTGCTCAACCACCAGGATTCCCCATCCTAGCGCCATACAGGTCGCCACCCACGGCCAACTGGTGGCCCCATTGGAGGGGGTCTAACCCCTCCACAGAGGTGCAGTCGGCGTATTCTACAGCCCCAGTCAACAGGGTGGGTGATGAGAGTTGATACAAGCACCTGTACTCCCCCACCATATCTACCCAAGTATAGTATGATGTAAGGTTTCATGGCCCTGACAGACCCATTATCTATCATCCGAACTAGCCCTTACTACTATGTGACTAGCTGATTGTAATGGATTGGGTTATTCCATCTGCCCTTCTATCCCAGGTGACTTGTTTTGGAAACTCCTGGTCATTTTATACCAGATCAGGAGTCACTCAGTCCCCAGGCATCACAGGGTCACCACCCATGGCAAACAGGTGACCCCATTGAGGGGAAATTTTCGTTTTTGAAATCAGTTTTTGTGAATGTGCACTTTGTGTTGCTGGTTTTATTATTGCAAAAAACCCATTCTTACACTTTCATAGTATTCAGATACCAGTTTGAGGAAGAGGGAAAACTATTTACCCATAGCTGGGACCCTAATGGTGCCTCCTCATAGGAACATCCATTCATTATGACTGGTGGTAATTCAGGGTCTCAATGGTGGTGATGAAATGTAACCAGTTTGATTTTTTGAGGCATTGAATGTAACAAGCCAGTTTTTTTCCCCACTGGGAAGTTAGTGCTGCTAGATCAGAAGAGAGGTCAGCTGCCAATTTCTGATCATTAAGAATTTTAGAGGTTTACTGTTTATCATTGGCATAGACATTTACAAATGATCTGAATATATTCTTAGTAGGTCATTTATGTAAATCAGGAAGAGGGTTGGTCCAAGAAATGACACCTGAGGAACACCTGTGTTGACCACCAGGGCCTTGGAAGACTGGCCATTAATAACTACCTTCAGAGTAGTTAGGAAGGATTTTATAATTGAGGAAACCCTTCTAGCGATCCCATAACTGGAGAGTTTGTGTAACCTTGTCAAAGGCCTTTGAGATATCTAATGTTATGATCCTCGAGGTGTGTATGTCATCAAGGGCCTCACTAAGTCTGTGTGTAATGGCAGTTAGGACGTCAGCAGTGGATTGGGCTGATCAAAATTCATACTGCTTGTCACACAGGAGGTTGTTCCTCTCTAAGTGCTCAATGACCTTCTTGTTGATTAAAGTCTCAAAAAGCATACTGATGATACTAAGAAGATTGATAGGTCTATACTGGAAAGGGGAGGATAACTCATCCATATTCTTGAAGACTGGGCATCTGGGTTGATATTTTTAAGGACAACCACTGAAATTTTGTCTGGGCCAGTGGCTTTTGTTCGAGTTGAGGCTTTTGCTAAATCTAGAGATTTCTCTTACTGAAATGAATATATTACTGATATTGCACTCAATGAGATATGGGAAGTTGGGGAGGGATAGGCCTTTGTCATCTAATGTTGAGGCAAAGATCAAGGAGAAAAGCTTTGGTGTGTGTTGAGGAAGATATGACCAGAATCTGCAAGATCCTATTTGTTTCTTTTCAACCTTGACAGCTTGCGCATAGCTGCACTTGTTTTCCTAAACTCTCTTACAGCATTGTGGGCAGTTCTGTAAGAAGTAAGGGCCAGACATCACTATGCATTTCGATAGGTATTGTAGTAGCAGATCTGGTGAGCTATAGCTGCAGTACATTCAGGGGTAAACCAGGGCTGACTGTTCAGTTTTTGTTGGAATTTTTGGGGGAGTATGAAACACCCCATTCCAGAAAGGATCCATTTGGAGATTAGGGCAGCAGTTTTGGGAGCAATACATTTGAAAAAAAGTTGGGTGAGGAACTTCTATCATATAGGACCAAAAGTTATCACAGTCTGCCTTCACATAGTGAAAAATCATTATATGAAATGGTAAATCAGGGGATGTCATTGGTTTGGAATCAATCTGGACACTGACTAGGGAATGATCTGATGTGCCTCTGTGGGAGGGGGTAAAACTTTTGCCAAGCACAAGTGGTTAGAAAGAGGTTGAGGAGGTTCACCTGCTGTCCTGTTGCATCCTGGATTCTGGTTGGTTGGTTTGTTGTGTTTTACAGCATATCAATCTCAATGGGTTATTTAATGCTGACAAAGTTTTTATTGCTGGTAATATTTTGCTTTGTCAAAAATGTATTGCTGGTAATAGTTTTTTTCTTCAAAAATTTATTGCTGGTAATAGTTTTTTTCTTCAAAAATTTATTGCTGGTAATAAAACACATTTTTACCCCAGTTTCAGGGTTAATTATTTGCCCATAGCTGGGACCCTAACAAGTGCTACCACCCCAGGTCAGGGTGGACCTGGGAACACAAGCAATTAAGAAATGGTTCCACAAAGACTGCTGATCAGAGGCCTTGCTGCTGGATGTAGTTTATCATCTTGCCCAGGACACGAATGTAGTTTATCATCATTCACAGGACGGCTTGGATTCTGGTGGGTTCTTCAATGATTTGAGTTACTTCATAGGTGATGGAGATGTCTCTGCAATATCTGCCTTTCTCATTGGTTTTGCTTGACTGGAATAACCACTCTGTGGTGAATACTGAAGTCACAGCAGATATGAAAGCTGGCTGAGGGAAATTCAGTGAGGGTATTGTCAATCCTCTTTGATATTCAATCAAAGATTACCAACCCTTCATCCTGAATGCGATACAGAGCAAAGATGAATGCGGTACTATGGATAAGTGCCCCACAGAAGCACATGTACGGAAGATCAGAGTCCTTGTTTTCTGTGTCCCAGCCACAGGGAAACTCCTCTATGATGCAAGAATCAAGACTGGCAATTTAGGTGGTTGTATTTTGTTATAATGGGTGAATAGCCCAGGATTGTGAGCTCTTGTTAGGGGATTGAGGTGTTGATACCCATTTCATACAGAAACAGGAGGTCAGGTTTAGACAGAATAAGATGGAATTCCACTTCTAGAAAGTTGGAATTCAGACCCCCTTACATTGTTTTAGGAGATGGTATATCTGTGGTTTACATTTTCTTTCTTTTTTTTTGAGATTGGGTTTGCTAGTTTTGTTCATTTTAAATTTGATCATTTTCATGTTTGTTTTTGTTGGTTTGGTGGATGACTAGTAGGCAGTGAGACAGACACCCAATGGAGATGCATGCATTTGACTTGTCCGAAGATACTGGTGTAGGAGTACTCATCATCAGGGCATCAAGAGGCCTGACTGGAGACTACTGCATTGGTTTACAAAATGGCAGTACAATAAACCTGATATTATACACTTGCTGATAAGATAGCCTCCTTCAAAGTTACTCAAAGGCTCAGATCCCAGAGTTTGGGCTTAGAATTATGATTACACCTTTTACAGACACAAGGTATGAATTGACAATTGTTTTGCTAATTCATTAAAACCAGCTGAGCAAGGGGCGTTACAGGCAGAGTTCTGAAATAGTTTACAGCTTTACTCGTCATGTTAGATTGTTTTACTAAGGATAGTGAAATGGCAGACAATTTCCTCACAGATAAAGAGGCAACATAAATATGGTTCTGCAGGAGGATGCTGAAAATACCATTGATGGAGCATATGAAAAAACAAGGAAATTTTAAGGAAAATAGAAACAAAAGATTTTTACCTAGAAGCAGAAAGACAACTGAAATTTCTAAGATATATGAGGAATTGATTGATTCATTTGTTTTTTATGACTTAACCCTTTGTGTTATTTAAAACCAAAACATTTTGTATTTTATTATATTTTTTTTTGCAAGTGAACATTATATTAATTTTTTGTGAATAACAATGATTTTCCTGATACTAGTCCTAGTATTTAACCCATAGCTTGGAGGAGGAGATAGAGTCAAACCTTTTCCAAGAGTATTTGCACATAAGCAAATGTAACAAACAATTGGAATATTGAACTAGAGTCTCCAGTTTCTCATTCTGAACCACTATGATATTAGCCACATAATGAGGAAAAAAAGGTTAGAAAATTTGGTCCTCACAGAACATATTGAAGGACAGTGGGGAAACAGCAAGCTTGTGTAAATGCATGAACAGAACAGGAACTGAAAGAGATAGTAAAAAGACTGCTGCTGCTAAGAGCTACACATGATAGGAAGTTATGGAGAGCCATAATCACCCAAATCCTGAAGGGACACAATGCCTAGAAGACTTTTGTTAAAGTCTTTCACTGAGAATAGTGAAATTTTTAGTAAAGTGATTTAACATGCTAAGTATAAGCAGTAAAATATTTCAGAAGTGCATATTAACAATATCTTTTTCTCTACATGCTTTTACTTTCATATATTGAGTGTTGCTGTGAAAAGAAAAGTGAGAGAGTTTATTTTTACCTTACATAAGCTTCCACATTACCTGCAGTGTCATGTTCAGAACAGCTTTGTTTCATTCAATAACAGTCTATATACCTGTTAATGACAATTACTACTCACCTTTTGCAAATTATATTCACCTTCACCGCGGGTACAAATAAAATGGTCCAAGTAGTTCCAGTTATAATTTTCTAATTTCTCATTACTAAAGTCAGTCTCAGACAAATTATAATGGCTGGAATCTGGTGCCTGAAACCTATACCTATATTTGTAGTACATCAGCCGATGTGGGTGTCTGAAAAATGAAAATGAAAATTACTAAAGTATTTTTTTTTCTGTATAAGAGACCCAAGAAATTAACAGTGAATGATTTCTAAATGCAATCTACTCAGCTAAAAAAAAATTTTAAATTTGCATACATTAACAAAAATCTAAAAAATTTTAAGCACAGGATTGAAATCAAATATTTATAAAAGTTCATTGGACTTAAACAATCTCAAAGAAATAATAATTTCTATCTAGAATTTTTTTTTATTTTTATAGAAGATTGATTTTAAATGTTAAACCTACAAAAGATAAGGAACTTTGCAATCACAAACCTATTAAATTGTAAGTGTACAAATAAGAACCTCATCACATATGGTAACACAAATAATACACAAAATGATTTTCTTTGAAAATTATATATACAGTTTGTTAAACACTTAGAGACAAAATATTTTTACATATCTGCAAAATATTTCATCAGCGCCTCCAGAAAAAAAATAGTGTTTTTACTGCCTGCATTTTCATTTACAAATGGTCTTAAATCTAACCTAGTCATCAACAGGATATGACTAAACAAATTCCTTATGACATAACAACTGGTTAAACAAGTTTTATTAATGTATTATTCTGCCTCAATTAGGTTTTGTGGCACAAAGGAACACATCCAAGTTCAATACCAAAGTGTGAAACTTCTTTCCCATAAATGCAATTCTAGTCTTATTTTTATGGCAAATGTTCAGAAGTGTTCCATTGCACCAGTTCTTTACAATTAGGACATATCATGCTACTTCCATGGAGACAAATCACTGTCATTTTCTCCATATGCCAAATGGAAGAAAAAGTTCTACTGTGAAAACTCTCACCACCAGAAGAACTGTGTGGATGGTTCCTGAACACTACAATCTTGACATCTTCAAGTCAAGGGTTAATTTTTATCTATTCTCCTTATTTTCAATCTTTACTTCCTGCAACTGCCTTCATTATAACCATTTTAACAGTAACCATCTATCAGGAGTGGCTCTCAAACTGAGTATTCATTAAACTTTAGTATGTGTGCATATATATATATATATATATATAAATTATATATTTTCAATTAATAAAAAGTGCAAGTGACTTAACTGGTTTTCCAAGTCATGAGTTTCACATTGAAACACCTATTAGTGCCAAATGCTTGATAAATCTATTGAACTTATGAACAGATCTCATATTTATACTCTTTTTTGTGTGCATATATATATATATATATATATATATATATATATATATATATATATATATATATTTAAAGACATTTTTATGTTTAACGTTGTTATTTATAGATACAAGTATTTAAGCAAATGCTCTGTTTATGATAAACAGTATTAAATAACATTTACTGGCCTGAATGTCCGAGAAATTTTCATAGAAAATATTCGTTCTTTGACAGGATTCGAACCTGCATCCTATACGGAACCGTCATTTATGCTGACGTGCCTTACCTCTGGATACAAAGAACCTTTTTCGGTAGACAAGGTTGAATTTACTGCTTATAAACTTCAATCTTCCATGAATATTCAGTACATTCATAACTGCACCTGGCGTATCAAATGTAAATGGCGTGCTATGATATATATATATATATATATATATATATATATATATATATATAATTTTATGTTTGAAGTCTTTTTTATATATATATATATTTATATATATATATATATATATATATTACTCAGTGTATAAAATTTTTCATGTATAGTATGACCCCTGAAATTTCTTACATTAATTTTAACCTCTCCAGAAAAAAATTTTCCTGTGTATAGTGCAACCAGTCACTATAAATGAATGACTTTTCACCTCTTCAAAAAACTAAATTACCTGTGTATAGTTTGACCCTGTATTTTTGGCATAAAATTTTAATCAGAAATACTTGCACTATACTCAAGTATATACAATATATTGCATATTAACATTTTTAGAATTTGTTGTAATATCCAAGTAATGATAATGTTCTTATGAAATTCAAGCCTCATCGACTGTCAGAATCAGTGGATTAGCCAAGAACCACTAGACAGATGTTCATAAATTTGCAGCAATAATAACCAATCGCTTCATCCAGATATGAAATAATGAATAGTGTTTAGATTTTTTTTCATCATTCTAAATGTACTGATAACCATTTGATATGTTAATAATAAAAATATTTAATGCATATAATGACTGAATTAAGCCTTTAGGAATGTAGGAACAAAGATTTAAAAAGAATAATCTATTAGGGTCATATGGACAGCACATGCACTGCAGTCATAGGTGTGTTTAGAGAAAGATAATTTGATGAGTCAATATTTCTTCAGGTTGGCAGACTGGCAGTCACCCAAGATAAAAAGAGTCCATCTTCCCTGCTATTTGATCCATAGCTGGAGGAAGACTGACACCCTTGGAAGGGCACAAATCTATGAAAAGGTAATGGAAACAGTCAGGATTTGAACTCGGCATGCCAATTCCACTTTATGAACAAATAACTACTATGCTACATTTACATCCTAATTGTACAAAAAAAAAACAAATTTGCTCCAGAAGGAAAAAACAAATTTTTTTTGTTTTTTTAACTTACCACCTCAGTAAGAGGAAAGTTATGCTAAAAGCTTTACAGAAACAGTTGCCTCAAATTTATTACATATCTTTAAACATTAGAAACATCATTACATTCCAGTTACTGTTACAAGAAGGCAGTCTTTTTGCAGGGTGTTTGATCAGTGATGGCATCTTGAAACACAGGAATCAATCACCAAAGATTTTGTGATGAACACAATACATCCCTTAGAAAAACATTTTGAAAACTTCAACATACCACTAGATTTCAACAGCAACTTGTTCCCACAGTACTAGAGAATGCAAATTTAATTTTTCTTCTATGCTGTGTCGCTTCAGGAGATGAGCAATCATGGCTTTCTACAACATTCTGTCCTTTGTCGCTCTTAGCATATTTTGTCTTTTTGTTATCTTTTCTAATTCCTGTTATGCCAACCATTTACACAAACTTATTAGGTAGGCTATGTGCATTGCTTTCCTCTGTCCCTCTTGCTTTCAATGTCCCATGAGTGTCAAATTTTTAAGCCCTCTTCATGTGCCCTAAAGATTTTAACAAAATTTTCCTCTTAATACTAAGACATCTTTCACTATTCAAATGCGCTTTTGGATTTCAGTGTCACATTTTCCATCCTATGTTAAAAACACTTCCCAGATATTTAAATTGTTGTATTTGTTTGATTTTGGTATCTCCAATTTGTAATTTGCATGTTGGTTTATTTTGCAGACAACCATGCGTTCTGTCTTCTTGCAATTAATGTTTAGTCCTTTCTTCACTATCTTTTGTAAGAGCTCTTGTAGTTTTCCTTTCTATATCTGCTATCAACACTGTGCCATCACCATATCTAATGTTGTTAAGATTGTGGCTACCAATAACAAATCCTAGCAGCACTTCTAATTTTCTAAGAATTGCATTACTGTATAGGTTGAATAAATCTGGTAAGAAGACACATCATTGTCTTACACGCCTTCCTATTTTTTGTATAATTACTGAATTCATTTTCTATCCATATGCAGTTGGTTTTCTCCCAGTATAAGTTCCAGATGATTCTGAAATCTTTCCCAACTACAATGAGTTTACCTAGCAGTTCAAACAGTTCTTTGTGACAGTTTAATTGAAAATCAAAGAATTACTAGGTCTTTTTCTCATTTAAAAACTGAAGCAAACATTTGAATCTTAAGATATAAAACATACTAATATAACTTTAATAAAAACAATAAGTAGATTGAAACCATCATTTATATGCATGTGTCTAAGAGGTAATCTTACCTGGGCATATACCGAGTCACTTTGACAGTATTGTCAATTCGAGTGAGGCGATGGTAAACACGTCCGATACTCAGGTAACAAACTTCCTGCAATCACAAATTAAATTTCAATAACCAAAGAACAATCAAGAGTTTAAATAGTGAGCTGCAACTATTGCAATCAAACAAAATTAATTTCAAATCATTTGTCTTTTCTACTTAAGTTTTCTTTTAAAATATCATACACAAGAACTTTGTGAGAAAACTATGAGAGGGTGCTAAAAATTTATTTCTCTAAAAATCTATATATTAAGGATATCCTTTTCTTTATATCAGACACAAATGCAATAAAATCTATGAGGAAATGCTAAAAAAACATCATAATAAAGAGAAAAATTGTTTTAACATTATACTTGGAAATATCTAACAGGGATTTTCAAACTGAAGATACTAAGTTTAGAGGGACAAATTTTAACAAAATTTGTTATAAAAAAAAAAAAAAAAAAAAACATTAAAAAATTATATTTTTGAGAATATTGCATAACAACATTTCAATTTAGTGATTATTTAAAACAGATCTGCTTCTCTTTTACAACACCTGACTATTTTAACCCTTTTTATTTTAACATGACTAAAAAAAATAAAAAATAAAAATCAGCTCTCAAAGTTTCACTGTTTGTGGTCAAAGTCTCACTGTGCCTGTGTTATTTGCAATGAAGTAGTCATATATTATAGAGTATACATGTGTCAGGTTACAGTGAGTTGAACACTGAGAGCCGATATTTATGGGGCAGATCGAATGCTAAAGGGTTAAGCAAGAAATTAGGACTTTTGCATTCAGAAGATATTTTAAAATTAGTAGTATGCCAATAACACAGTACTGATAGCAGACATGGAAATGAAATTACAAAATCTCCTAAAGAAAATAGCGACGAAGAGTAAGAATAAAGGAATAAGCATAAACTACAAAAAAACGAAGTGCATGGTAATGTATAAGAGGAAAAGTTAAATAAGATCTGAAGGTCGGGAACACTAGAATCAAACAGACACAGAAGTTTAAATACCTCTTGTGTCTTGATAGAGGACAGTAAGTGCAACACTGAGATCTGTAGGGATATTGGGATGGCCAAGGACACATTCCAAAAGCCAGGCAGAGTACTGCGAGACAGGAGGATATCTTTGGTAACAAAGAAAAGAATACTGAACTGTTACATGACAACTGTCCTTCTTTACGGCAGCAAATGTTGGATGATTTCCTCAAAGATGAAGAAGAGACTCAAGGCAACAGAGATCTGGTTCTACAGAAGGATGCTAAGGATATCATGGACCGAGCATGTGAGCAACGATGAAATCTTAGAGAGGTTGCAAACAAGCAGGAGGCTTATACTTAATATCAGGAAGATATAATGAGGAAGGAGGGTCTGGAGAATCTTATACTCACAGGTCGAATAGAGGGAAAGAGAGACAAGAGAAAACAACGTGTAACATACCTGGTGGACTTAAGTGGATGACAGAACGTGGTCTGGGGGAGGAAGCAGAGAGAAAGAAGTTGTTGAGAGATGCAAGGGATAGAGGGAAGTGAAAAGCCATGATCGCCTACATGAAAGGACATGGCACATAAAAAGAAAAAGATAGGGAAATTTAACACTACTAATTCAAATATGATAGTCACTACTAATTTAAGTGTTTTAAGATATATTTCTATGTGACAGAGCAAGGATCTTAGTAACAATTAAGAATTTTTTTGTGAAGGATACAAGCTTTACAGAATGACACTGAACTGACAGAAGTATTTTAAGTTTCAGGTAATGTTAAATTTATATTAAACTAACTCATACCATAGATTAAGATTTAATGAAAATATTTAAATAATAAAACAAGCATGGAAAATACTACTGAAAAAAATATTGGCAAAAAGGAGGAAGTGGGAGTAAGCATCAATATCTTAGTAATTTTCAAGGAGTTAAAATGAATTGGTGAGGTCAGTCTTATTGAAATCTCTGACTTTACCCTTACCTCTTATGTGAAAATTGACAGCTTGAGTATTCTTCACATATCAATAACATCAGTCTGCTAATTAAACTTCAGCTACAGTAACCAAGTGAAGGCTGTAATAGTCTATGAAGACTATAGAATGCAGAATGCTTGACCAAATTCCATGAGAAATTTGGAACTTACCCCATCTTCATTCTTATTTTGCAGGGACCGATAGAATCCAGCACCACGACAACCTGCAATGAATAAAGAATCAGCAAAACTCTTTGGAAGGATGATTAGCTGGAAACCCTGAAATGAAGAGAAAACAAATAGACCATTAGGCATGATCAAATATAATTAGAGTTTGGTAGAGGTGGGGGACACAAGCTTTATATTTAATGGATTTCATTAAAAAATAAAAATAAAATAAAATTATTATTTACCAAACTTAAATGAGTCTAGAACTCTATAGAAATTGAACTCACAATGATAACTAAGGAATACACCAAGAATTAAAAAAAAACACTTCTAAGATGCTGTGGGCAGTAGCGCAAGTAATGAAAAGAGAGAATAATATAATAAAGATGTTAACTTTCTACACGACCTTATGGAAAGGAAAATCCAATCAATAGAAAGAGCAATATCAGTTGATGTACTTGAGAAATCTACTTTCTAGAATAACTGTTTTAAGAAAAGAATCTTATAAATTTCAAACAACAGTAATACTGAATATTCTATCAATGAGGGGCAAATGTTTCCTGTATGAAAATTTAATTTCACTATTTACATTATTCGGACTGTTATCCACATCTTCAATGTTATATTCACAAGGTTTCAGCCGTTGTATGCTCCAGCCTTCTTCAGGTGATCAGAATTTCAAACCAAACCCTTTATTTCCACATATAGAAGGGAAAGCGAGATCACCACCCACTATGGGATGAGGTTGAAATAACAAGCAGAGAACATAACTTAGAAAATATGAAAACTTAAGGAATCAGCACATATACTAGGCCACAAAAAAAAACGTTGATTGTTCTAGTTCCACCTGCCATGCCTCTTCCAGATGTCACAGTTATTTCCCTTTAACTCAACTCGCCAAGTTTTTTGTTCACCACTGCTGTAGCCTAGTACTGAACTCACAATTATTATTATAATAATATTGTTTTACCAGAGATTATATTGCACTTTTGTGTTGTTATTCATTGCTTTTCTCTAGCACTCCTTATTACTGGTTCCCATATTGCATTTATTTCTATACTTGGTCAGCTCAGGAGATTTTTGTTGCCTAACATGTGTGCTGATTCCTTAAGTTTTTGTATTTTCCAGCGATGTTCTTTGACTATTATTTCAACCTCATCCCACAGGGGGTGGTGATCTCCCTTTTCCCTTCATATTATGGCTTTACAATGTTCTTGCAGTCTTAACTTAAGGGGAAAGCCTGTTTGTCCTTTAGATTTCTTACCACAACTGCATGGGATGGCATATATACAGTCCTTAGTCATGTTCTCCTCTATAGAAGGTCTTATTTGGAAGAGGTGTCTGAAGTGTCAAACTTTTGAAGGTCATCCCAATGTTGTATGGACCACAGATCTTTTGCATTTTCTCCAATAATTCCTTCACATAGGGTAGACAGATTGAAGTTGTTTTCAGAGTGCTGCTATCCTCTTGTACCCAGTTTGTCGGAGATGTTGTCATGTAGCTGGGGTAGTTGTTACATTGCTTATACTGACCATTTCTTGTTCATGTGTCTCTGGCTTGCCACTTACGACTTTTGCTCAATGTCGTAAGCAGCAGACAATCCCTTTCTTTACACTGTATGGGTGGTAGGAGTTGAAGTTGAGATACTGTCTGGTGAATGTAGGCTTGTGGTATACGTATGTCTTGAACCCATGCTCTGTTCGAGATATTAGTACATCCAGGAAGGCGAGTTTGTTGTCATTTTCTTGCTCCATTGTGAACTGTATCAATGATTTTATTGAGTTCACATGGTCCAGTAGTAGCTGGACCTCTTCCTGGTGTAGCCAGAGTATGAAGATGTCATCTACACATTTTTTATTTCTCAATAAAGAAGACAATAGTCTGAACAATCAAAATAACATAAATAAAAAGCATCAAGCGTCTAAAATGCACCTCATAATCTTCCATTTTTATAGGAATGCAAAATTGATATGAATTAAGTAATTTTAAACTTTCTTTTTCAAGAGATAGTTTGAAATGTGCTCGAGTTGGAAATGTAAGCATATTATATCTGTTGATAAATTTCACATGTAACGTTTTGGAACATGAACAACTAAAAGTCAGCATGAACTTTCCAGACATTTTTGCTAAAAAATTTTCAAACAGAACTATAAACTCTGTATATTTTGGTATGTTTCTTGCATTATCAGGTTTTATCTTAGGAGAGTAATTATAACATTAGCTTTATTAAAATGTTAAAGTCTATGAATAGAAAAGTTTTGTGGTAAAAGAAAATTGATATAGATATCTCAGTCCATTGATACTGATAAAACAACAATATTGACAAAACCAAATTTTTTTGAGCAATAAAAAACATTACATAGAACAGTGTGCACATAATTAAGCCATTAAAAAAAAAAAAAAAAAAAAAAAAAAAAAAATTTTTTTCATTTTTTTTTTTTGGTGGGGGGCCACAGCTCAAGGAAGTTTAATACTTTTCAAGTAATTTAATTAACACTTAAAAGGTGCTTACCTGTGAAAGTCTCTGTGATATTAACTCCATAAATAACTGTTCAGTATCTATAGGAGACTTCCGATAGCATTTCTCATCAGCACTGCAGGGTTGGCTGAATATGAAAAAAAAAAAAAAAAAAAAACACACACATAAAAATGTTATGAGGCAACTGCTGTTAAAATAGATCTAGCTGCAAAATGCTTCCATTACAGGGTGAAAAACATTTAACAGAAATGATAAATAGTAAAGACATTAACTTCATCATTAAATACAGCTTGCAACATGTATATTTCAACCTTGCACAAGTTTTGGCTTTGGTATTGTGTCAAATCAATGATCACATGTCTATAATCAAAGAGAGCCTTCAAGTCGGAGAACATCAGCTGCAGTCTGTCTTGGAAAGGGATGGGCTCAGTCATCAACTTTGTCCAAGACGTGCTACAATGGAATAAATACCTAAAGACATGTAGAGGGAGCTGCTAGTCAGGTGCTCAACTCTATAACCACACATGGTCATGAGACTGATGCTAATGGTCTTTGAATGGTACAAGTTTTCATTTCAATATAATTATTAGTGATTCTGCAAGTTGAGAACCCACTTATATCTACTAATTTTAAATTGCCTCGTCTCAATTATAGACATACAGATAGACATACAGAGACAGAAACAGATAGAGAGAGATAGATAGACAGAGAGATAGAGATACAGAGACGGACAGACGCATAGTGATACTGTTATGAACCGTGTGTTTGTTGTCTCATAACTATTAAATGAAATGCCTTGTATGCAGTTTTAATTCATGGTCCGTGGATGAATGTGTGTGTGTGTGTGTGTGTAGCACATGGAGAAACGTGTGATGCGATAAGGAAATTATTGCTACTCATGGTTGGCTTGAAATAACCATTTATTTACACGGAGAACCTTACAACATATATATGTGTATATACAAAATCACAGTCCCAAGTTACTGAGGTGTGTGTCACAACCATTAGGACAGGAGAATATGTCCTTATTCCATGTTCCAAGTCTCTTGAATTTTGCGCGCCTCACCTCTCAATGTCGCATTGATTATGTGACTAGCGTGGTTTGGACAGGGGCAAAAGGGGAGTACTCTGTTTGAAACAGGAAAGAGTTATTTCCCTTGGAATATATTTTTATCCATCCTAACAGATACAGAGAGAGACACATAGTGGTACAGAGACAGACGCATAGAAGTACAGAGACAGATGCACAGACACAGATAGATGTGTGCACACAAAGATAGACAGAGATAAACACACACAGTGACAGACAGATAGACATTTTCAAGATATTGTTAAAATGTCAAGACATACTATTTGTGTTATCAACTAATTAGCACTTAGGGATATTTCCAAACCAGTACAGATATATAACACAACCTGCATGTATTTTCATTATATTGTGTTGGGAAATGTTGTTTAGCTTAGTCTGTACTACAGAGTGTCTGACTGAAATCAAAATCAATGTCTTTATAGTCATTTATTTCCAGTAAAAGGCAATTTCCTATTTTCCCAAAATGGACCTGTAGAGCCAGGCAACAATGGTACATGCATTTGTATTTGCCTTTAGTCAGATGAGAACTAAATGCTTTGGAGGCATATGTACAAAATATTAGACACAACAGGCATGGAAAACTGAAGGTATATTAATATCTAGAATTGTTAACATTATAAATAAATAGCTTAAGTAAAATACCAGTAGAAAGAGGAAAAAAAGTAACACATCTAATCATTACAAAGTTTGTCTTCAAACAAACAATGAACCTATTGTTGAGGAAATTAAGAAAGCTATCAAAAAAATAAGGAATAATAAATTATCATTTGACATCAGGGGCAAACTTTTGAAAATAACTTATTTTTCTCAAAATTCAATAAAAGGTTTCTCTATTTTCTGAAAGATGTCTGGAATCAGAAATGAATCTCCAAAAAGTGGGGTTTATCACACATTAATGCATTATGGAAACAGAAAAGTAGCCCTCAAGACCCTCACACATACAGATGTATCTTAATTGGATATATCATGGTGAAAGTATTAATGAGCATTATATTCACTAGGCTCTCATTGTTTTATGAAAGTCAACTTCTCTCAGCCAATTTTGGTTTTCATTCTGGTTAAGGGATGTAATGATGGCATAGGTCAACAAACATCCTTTTGATTACCTTTCTGAAAGTAAATTGTATGCCTGCTATGTTGACCTTACAACAGCATATGACCACATCAATAGAAAATTCCTCCTCTTATATATTAGAAACTGCTTTGAATCCACTGAATGCATCAATCAAATAGAGGAAATTTATCAATCTACAAAATCTTACTTGTCTGGTGAGGACCCCAATATGAAAACATTTTGAACCTCGTTCATGAATACAAGGAGGAAATAAGAGTCCCAATCTGTTTAATCTTTTCCTAGACTATGCCCTGCATATGTACAAACACAGATTTGAAGAGATGGACACTGATCATTTAAGCATTCTATACCAAATGAATCTACCAATAGAAGACAATGATCCTTCTTTCTCTCTCGAGGTCAATGTACTGACGATGATGGTGAGATGTGTCAATGACATGGGTATTCATAGTTGAGATAAGAATGACCTTGAACAGAAAATCAATATCACCTACCAAGTGTTCCAAGAAATAGGATAAACCTTTCTAAAATGGAGACTATGATTTGGAATTGGAATGAAAGCAGTGACAGCACATACCTTGAATCCATCATAAAAATTCAGGATGTAGAATTAGTAAACACTAAACAATTTTCATTATTTTAAGAATTGGATTTCACTAAAGTTTTCAACTTTTTGTTAAACAACTTTAAACCTATCTTGGGCACACCAAATTGACACATGTCTGTTTTTTCTTTAAAAGGGTACTATTTTGATATGTGTAGGGAGACAACTCGAATTATAACAATTTTGAAAAACACCACTATGAAATTTTTGTTTTGAAAATGCAGAAAAATAAGTGCCCACTGTTGAAATAGTGACATAATTTAAAGAGGTGTGGAATAAAATCTAATCATCACACATGAGAAAGAAATTTATCATTATAAAGAGAAAATATTAAATTTTGTTTATGTACTAATTTTATCAAAATAGCCTTAAAAAAAAAAAAAAAATTAAAAAATAAACAAGATATCAGCAGTTAAAATTGAAGGAAATGTCACTATTTTGACACATTTTTTGAAGTGTAAACTAGAGCAGATTCGCAGACCAGATCCCTAGTGCCTCCTTACGACATCTATATGATCATTTCTTTTTCTCAGTATTCAATAAACAGCAAATTCAAAACAAGTCATCTAACACTGTAAACACACATCCATTTCCACTTTTCTTAGATTATATTAACTGTAATAAATGTCTGACTATATCACTACACCTACAAACCCAGAGCATTGACCCCTGCAGATGTCAGCTGTCTGATCTGGCTGTACTATCCAGCAAGAGAGAAATATTCAGACAGCAAAATAAGTTGTACATGAATGTATGATTTTATATTTATTTTATTCTTTGTAAAACATACATGTTCTTTCTTTGTGCGGTTTGCAATTTTATTATGACACCAACTATAAGTTATCTTGTGCCTGGCATTTTCTGATATATTTTCATCTGTGGGTGCCAACAACTAATTTATTCACAGTGATATTTTTAGTGTGAAAAATAAAAGATCATAAAAGATTTTTTATTGTGTTACTATAAAGTTGGTGTTTTAAGTCAGATTTCATAATCAACCTCTAGCAGAGAAAGTGTTAAATTTAAGGGACTTAAAAATAAAAATAAAAAAAAAAAACAATAAAAAAATAAGAAGTTATTACTTGCTTCTACCCCCCCTTACCACCCACTTTTATTTAACTACCCCATATCACATTCAGGTAGGGGTGATGCTACCAAACTTTGGGAATCACAAGATTAGACAAAACTTTTCAAAAGCCATCAATGATTGTGTTAGCATAAATTTACAAGTCATCATGAGCGAGATTTTAAGTGTACTGGCCTTGTTCAAAATGTTGATCAGGATAAATGATGTGCTCTCCCTTTAAAAATAAAATGTAACGAAAAGGTCTGTTCCACTTAGTTGCAATATAAACTTAGTTTTGGTGGGTGTTGTAGATGGATGTGTCTGAGCATGCATCTGCAACAGGATATATATATATATATACTAATAGACTCCATAGTCTCCCAAAACTGAAAGATGCCTACAAGACATTTTTATTGATAATATTTCATCAGATTACTCACTTCATCCAGTATTCACTGTTGACAATTTCTGGCAAAATGGTGTATTGCGAGACAACAAAATCATCTTCTAAGCTTCGCATGTCAGGAAAAAAATCTGTAGTGATGGGTAAAGAGGCTGGAATGGTCAGTGATTTCCAGTCAACACCTATAAAGAGAGGTCAAGAGAATGGCTAGTGTTATAGGATAATGATGATAAACAGAAAAGAAAATTAGAGTTAGATAAGGACAGATTGGATAAATATTAAACAGTTGTAGGAGATGGTGGTAAGTTATAGAAGCTGTTAAATTTCTTTGTACCCAGTGAGTTGTCATAGAAAATACAATGACAAACAAAACCATATAAGTTTAAAAGGGACATAAATCAGATTTAGTAAATTCAGAATAACTATATTCTTTGGGTACAAGAAATTATTCACTCAAAGCATAACACAACAAAGCCAATCAGAAAATAAAATCCTTCCTATAAAGAAATTAAAAAAATATTAAGGGAAGGGAGTTCATTTATTCCAGAAAATTATTTAAAAAAATGTTATCATAAAACAAACTAATTAAAACAATGATTTTCCAGATACATATATTACTATTTAACCCATAGATAGAGAAAGGAGTTGGATTCATACCTTTCCCAAGGGTACTTGTGCACAAGTGAATATAACAAACCTGACTGGAATTGAAAATCAGCACTCTGATTTCTCTTTCAATTTAGACAAGAATTAAAAAGATTGAAATTTCAAAAGTTGGTTATTTGATATTTAATTTATTCCTGAAATAAAGGCATGAAAAATAATGGAGAAAAGATTCCAAAGTAGAACAAAAAAGAGAGGAAATAAATAATTATTTATTATAATTTATTATTGTTTATAATATGCTAGGCTATGAGGACCTCGTTAGTAGGCCTAGCATAGAAATAAATCAATATGGGAGCCACTAATAAAGAAAGACAAATGACAACAAGTCTTTAACCACAGTAGTAACAGTCAAAACCTGACAGTCAGCAGCATTCTAATCAGCAGTGATGGTTAGATTTAAGTACAGTGTAACCCGGATATAAGAGAGTTGTCGGGACCGGAGAAGAAGTCTCTTATATCCGGGTTTGGTCTATTTTATATACATTAACACAGGCTCTAATTTGGGACCAGAGAAAATCTCTCTTATATCCGGGTTTCTCTTATATCTGGGTTTCTTATATCCGGGTTACACTGTATATAAGTTTACACCAGCAAATTGTCCTACATAAAAAAACATTGGTTTGAGAATTTTGTGACCTTGTTGTTGTGAGTTCACTCCCTGGGTACTTGTTCAGTGAAGCAATAAAATAAACTGATAAAAATAAGAACTAGCTGATATCCTGAGACATGAGCAGTGAAACAAGAACAGTCTACCCCCATAGATTAAATAAAGGTTTTGGTTCGAATTCCTCTAGATTAGAATGTAGATCGATATACACCTGTGGAAAGGTCGGAGGACACAATGGCTGAAACTTTAAATAGATAAATGCATAAAGTCTGCTGTTTTGTTTTTTTTTCTCACCACCCTCCCTGCTCGTACTATTTATTTACATTCAGACTATATTTTATTTTAATATCCTTTTGCATTCTTTCCTTAACCTAAAATTTAAAAAAAAAAAAAAAAAAAAAAATAGCTAGTTAGAAGAACATGTTAACACTACAAACGGTGATATAGAAAGGACTAAATGAAGTGATAAAGTGAACACTGAGATTTTGACATTTTGGAAGTACAATATAAAGGAGTGGCGTTCAAATTATGGACTGTTTTGCGTGAAGAGTTTGGGTCAGACTCACATGTTAAGGAACGGCTTTTACTCTGGCGTGCACGATTTATTTGGGAAATTTTGCTGTGTCTTTAAAATCAGCACGGCAGTTTGTGGTGATATAAGAGGCTTGGGGGCAGGCAGGTCCTTCACCACCCAACAGTGCTATTAGCCAGTCATGAACACATGCACTCTCTCTCTCTCACATGCACACATCTGTTTCAGCAACTTAAAAATGCTAACAGGTTTTCTTTCTTTTCATTTATTCTCTCTCTCTCTAATACATTCTTTTTGAATTTGCATCTCTTCTGTTGTACTTTTCTTTTCCCCCCCCTCTTTTTAAAGCTTTTCCTCTTTATTTTGCTTCAATGATTTGCATATTTTTTTTCTCCTGTCTCCTTTTCATTTTCTTTTTTTTATTTTTAAACTGTCTTCTCTTCCTCCTCTATTATTTACTCTTTCTCAAAATTGTCACTCTTTCTCTTCATTTTTGCCTTCTCTCTTTGTTATTTGTATTTTGCTTTTTTATTATTAGCAAATTTTTATTCTCTTTTTTATTTTTTATTTTTTTTTATCTTTTTCTCTTTGGCATTTTTTTTTTTTTTTTTTTTTTTTTAAATTTGCCTTCTCTTTTATTATTTACTTTTTCTTGGAATTGTCACTTTTTATGTTGATTGATTTTTTTAACTCTCTCTGAGTTATTTGTATTCTGCGTTTTATTATCAGTACATTTTATTCTCTGTTTTGTCACCACCACCACCTCGCCGCTCTTTCTTGTCTATTTTCCTTCCTCCATTCACTATTCTTTCATTCTTTCTCTAAATCTCTCTCGATTGTTTCTTTTCTTTTATGCTTATTTTATTTATTTATTAATATATTCTAACAATTTATCTCTGATTCTATCTATTCTGTTGTCACCCATTCCTTTTCTCTGTATTTTAGAAATAATTTTTTTGTTCACTCACAGAGGACTTAACAGAACCAGAAAAAAATGTCTAGTTTGGACAAAGGATATGGAAATCAAATTACTGAAAATCAATTGCATTGTCTTAAATGCACACACTCTCAAATAAAATGTTTATATATATATATATATATATATATATATATATATATATATATATATTCATTCCCATATCAAAAGAAATCTATTTACCCAAAGATCCCAAATCTTGTATCAATATGGTGACCTAAACTCATACTAATAATGTTACCTAGGCTTGTATGTTTACAATAATATCAATTTTATCTACTTCTGTATTTTCATTATTAGCATGACATTTTATTGCACAGAATTGGAATAAACAAATAGATTTGCTTAAGTCTGTTATCTTAACAGTACCAGCTGCAGAAAACCTTTTTGCTTATGAAATTAATATTCCATATTTGTTAATTTACTCTTAATGAAACAGTCACATCCATTTGACAATTGTTTTATTGCCAATCATACATCATTGACTGGCTTTATCATTTTCATTTCAAATAATTTCATTTATTGTTTGTGATTGCCTTTAGAAAATCTATAGCTTGTTTGTTTAACAGAGGCCAACATTATCTTTTAAATTTAATTTGCAATTCTTGATTCCAATGATGTTCAGAAGTGGTTTTTTTTTTTTTTGTGTGTGTGTGTTTTTATATAGACTGTTGCTATGGAATTACAAAGAACTTTACAAAACGGCAAAAATCACAAACACTTCCAAACAACAAAATGGTTAGCACATATAATTAGAAGGAGAAACATTGACATAATCAAGATGTTAACTTTCCACACTACCTTAAACAAAAGGTTAGAAAGAAAACTCCCATCAGTACTAGAAAGAGCTATAATGATTTACTGCACTTGAGAAACTTATTTTCCTGAAAAAACTCTGTTTTAGTCAATGAATGCTGAATATTTCCTATATAAAACAGCTAATCTCACTGTTACCCCGTTGTTTTTTATTTTATATTTGCAAAAAAATTACATATTTTTCTTGCTTTGTTAATAAAATGTTATGTTTAAGAGCTTTTTTTTCTTTTTTTTTTTTTCAAGAGACATAATTTGAGAATTTCATGTTTATATAAAATTCTATTCCCTTTCTTCATGTAACTTTCAACTCAAATCCCATGACACTAAAATGTACATGTTAAACCAAAAAATACCTTATAATAAACTTATTTAGTCAAATCTGTATTTGTAGTTTTCTAAAAATGTCTTTGTACTTTTATATCCTAAGGTGCCTACCAATGAGCATTGTTTTGCAAAATCATCTTATTGGCAATTTCTTTTGTGAATAGTTTTCTCAAAGTGACCTGCATCCATTGTGTTGACCAAAAAACTGCTTTTAAACTACAAATTGAGTTTGCTTAAATGTGTAATGATACCAAAAAAATGAAGTGCAAAATGGTGTTACTACATTCTCAGGGATGTGTGAAATATCTGGTGAGACATGGAATAACTTGAGACATGTAAAGAGTCCTCAATCTGTTCAGGTTACTAAAAACATTTGTGTATTACCTTGTATAGTCACTTTTAGATGATGGTCTATCATAGGTCACTTTTCATTGACCTCATATTAGACATTTTTATAAAATATTATTTTGAATAGAATTAGGTAGATCCTTAGAAACATCCTTCTCTTCCTAAGAAATTCTTTGTAATATATACATAAGAGTTTAAAAGAGGGCACAAAAGATCTGAGGTTATTTTCTGATCCCCAGTCTGTTACACTATCATTGTTTTCATTTAAAATGAAGGTGAGATAATTTTACACCAGAACAATGGTATTTTTTTGTTTATGGTCAATGAAGAACTTAAACATTCGATACAAAAAACTCAAAAACAAAACTGCTCTCTTTTAATCAGCTAAATTTAAGATGGAGAATGATTTACAAAACCTTCTCTGGCATGAAGTGGAAAATTGAATCAATTGCTGGGTCTGCTGCTAGGAAAGTTGGTTCACTGTGACGTGTTAGACAATTTTTCTTGCCAGATTTTATCTTAAACATTTATAAGTCTGCTATACCTACATGCTTTGAACATTTCACCCACATCTGGTCTGGTGCTTCCGCTATGTATTTAGAGATACTTGATAAAATTCAAAGAAGAATTCACAATGTTATTGGTCCTGAACTGACATTTTGGTTTCAGTCATGTTCCCACTGCTGCAACACATCTTCCCTGTACATTTTTATGAATATTTTCATGGTAATTGTTCTGATGAACTTTCTTTCTATGGTACCTAGACTTTATGAATTTAACCATGCTACTAGACTGGCAATAAGGTCTCCTTATTTTACACTTGAAATGACTATAGATGTGACTATAAG